GGCGCGGCGGGTACTTTGACTTTTTCCACGTCACGGGAGAAAGTGTATGGACAGTTTGATCGATCGAGCACGGTAAGTCGATCCAAAGTGTCCTTCTGCTCGTTCTAAAGCGAAATTCTTCTTCGGTATTATGCCTCGCATCTAAGGTTTCCCTTACGGCCGTACACCCGTTTCGCGTTATTACGCGGTGCTAATGAGCTCCAGCTAGTAATCAAAGCAAATGTTTCATGACACGAGTGAAAACCGTTTGAAGGCTTTTCCTTTATGTCGTTTGGCCTTCGTCGCGCGACTCGCTCGCCTCTATTTTTATCCTCGCTTCTAAACTTCGTTTCACGTAAACGCCATCATCGTGCACGCTCGTTGATCGTGCTCGCGATCGAAGGAAATCCAACGTTTCCTCTTCTTTTCCCGTTTCGCTTCTTCGTCGTCGTCGTCCTCCTCCTCCTCTTCCTGCTGCTGCTGCCACTGCTGCTGCCACTGCTGCTGCCACTGCTGCCACTGTCCTTTTCCTTCTTCGTTTTCGCCGGCGGAATATTTTAAGTAAATTTTTTTTTTCCGCGAATCGGTGTGTTATCCGCTGGCATGTTTTTGATTACAATTCATTCCCCGTGTTTACCCTGCACCCGCTGGTACAGGTTCGCGCAGACAAACCGCTGCTCCAGGCACTGACTGTTACTAATTAAGGGCGGTTTCAGTACGCGTGTTAATTCTTAATTAATATCTTTGTTGCCTCCTCCGACGTGGCAGCAGCCCTCGGCACCCATTTCTCGTTCCTTCCTTCTCTCCTTCTCTACCTCTCCCTCTCTCCACCTCTCTCCCCCATCGTACCCCTTTCTCACTCCCCGTTTTCATCCACCCTCTTTCTCTCATCTGCTTCTTCTCCCGCGCGGCACCTCCGCTTTCTCACTTTTTTCTCTTCTTCGTTCCGGCTCTCCTCGTCTCTGCTCCGCGTCCTTTTCCTCTCGCTTTCTCCCGCCCGTTCAACCCTTCCTCTTTGTCTGTCTTCAGCCAACACCCCAGCCAGCACCGTCCACCCACTTCTCTTCTGGAGTCTCTCGAATGAAAGGAGATGTATGGGAACACACGCGCATCTCGAGCCACTATGATAGGTACAATCGGTCACGAGTGACGAAAGAAAAAGCAAGAAAGGACTGCGGAGGAAGCGCGTTCCTCCGATTTACCGCTCAACCGTTTCAACCGGTGAATCTCTCTCGCGACGAATCGAGAAATCGTTGGTTAACCCCTTTGTCGCTTAACCCTCGCGATTTCTCTTTCTATTTCTCCTTCTCTTTTCGTTCCTCTCTCACTCTCTCTCTCTCTCTCTCTCTCTCTCTCTCTCTCTCGCTCTCTCGCTCGCTCTTTCTCTCGCTCTCTCCCTTCGACAGTTTCTCGCGAGCACCTAAATTGTTTCCTCGAGCTTCCTTTCGCTCCTTGAACGACGAGTGACAATTAATTACGAAACAGCCACGCTCGTCTCCGCGTTGCGCGCCGCGAAAAAAAGTAATCCCGCCAGTATTCGGCCAGAAGTATTGCCCCTTTCTCGAACGAGACGTCACGAGTTCGACCCCTGGCTCGATCCACGCTTGGAAAACTTTCTTCTGTTCGACCGAGGGATTTCACCGGCAAATACTCTTCAATCGTAATAGCCAGCGGGGGCTCTCGAGATCTCCAACGAGCCTCGCGCGTACTATTTCGCGAATAGTCAACAACGTTCGGCTCCACATTGAACGGCGCCGTTCTTTGAAATCGAGCCCTTTACGACGAAAAAATGTCTGTAAAGCCGCCGACTCGAGCGGCTCTATTAATCAACCATCGGTGGTTCCTTCCCGCTTCGATGCGTCCCGTTTTTCACCCAAGAAAAATACTCCCTAGTCTTTCCCTCTAGTTTTCCCCGCTAGTTTACCCCTACGGTGTACCCCTCCTCGTTCCCAACTTTGACTTTCACCCCTTCGTTCGCTGCGCGCCTCTTCTACCCGTCTTTCCATCGATATCTATCACACGCTGCATTTATCGCGTTATCTGTCGTTTAGCGCTCAACGAGAGTCATTAGCCGTGTCTTTATTCGCCTCATCGTCTCCTGGAAGGAACAGCTGGATGTTCGCGTTTTCTAACCTCGTTTATTCCGTCTTCCTCCGATTATAGGCCCCGCCGCTCGCTCGTTTACCAGTTTCCTCGTCATTTCCTTCAGCCTACCGACACCATTCGGAGCATTAACATAAGTTCCCTTCCAGCCGCCACGCTTTCCTCCATTTTCCCTCTGCTTCGTCGACAGTCGCTCGAAATCGTAAGGCGGGAAACGAGAGGATTCGATCGGACACCGGGGCTATCTTGCGACGGTTCAGGCATTCAGAGGGTTCCACAGGCATTCACTAGAGACGGAGGTGCTGGATATTCGTATCGAGGTTACAGACGTCGCGCGTCCTTCATCTTCCCCCGTTTACGGAACGAATTCTTATTATCTCGAGTCTAATTCCTCGGATGCCCACGATCGATAAACCGATCCCGTCGATTGATCCATTTTCCTGCATAGATTCAATCGTATCCCGATATGACTAGGTTTACGCGAGGCCGATTTTCGACCTCGTTCCCCACTCGCGGAGCATTATTCGGGGAAAATTTTCTTCGTTCTCGGAATTCAGTGATTCGAGCCGGTGTAACGATCAGCGTCTCGTCGTCTGCCGAAAATCGAGTTTCCCAGGAAGTCGCAGACGTCGTTCGTCCTGGAAATCCAGCCCCTCTCGCGAAGGTAAATTTCCGGCGCGATGCAACACGCCACGCGGAAATACCGTTGTCCATTTGCTCGTTGCTTTTTCTCTCATCTCGGTGCCATATATAATTGACATCGTTTTGGGTCGTAAACCGAGGCTGGTAGAAAAATAGGTAGCATCCTGGCGGAAACTGTCCTCCACGGAAAGACCCCCTTCCCTCGTGTTTCGCCGCGTCTCCAATTTTCCAGCCGGCTTTTCTGAGCGTTGCTAGCACTACCCCGGGAGCCATGCCAGTCTCCTTTTGCTTCCAGAATCCTCCGGTATTTTCCTTTGCCGGCAAATTGGACTATTACGGCAGCGGCTTGTACCTCGGCACCGTGTCTTCGCGAAAACCGCGTATTTTCTCTCTTCCTCCTCCGTCTCCACGGCTCACCCCCCCCCTCCCGCGTCCCTCTCGCTCGTACCCTTTTCCACATCCCTCGACAGAGGTCCTCTTACCTAGCGGGCTCAAAGTGGCGCGCAGTTGTTAAAACAACCAATTCTGTCGGAAAGCTGCTCGTTACGGACGCCTCTCTCTCTCTC